TTCATATTCTTTCAATTCTCTTGAGGCATAGGCTATCACTTTGCCACGTTGCATCAACACACAACCGAGTCCCAACCCAGAAGCATCGCCATTCACAGAGAAATCATCATCACCATCTGGAAGTGATAAGATTGGAGCATGAGTCAAGAAATATTTTAAATTTTAGAAAGCTTTTTCTTGGGTGTCACCCCATTCGAACTTTACTTCCTTTCGTGTAAGACTTGTGAGAAGTACAACTATACACGAAAAATATTTAATGAATCTCCGGTAATATTTCACGAGACCTAAGAAACTGCGAATTTCAGAAGCATTACGAGGCGCTACACAATTCTGAATGACTTCGATTTTGGTAGGATCTACGGATATACCATCACCATATTTCACATGGCCGAGAAATTGAACTTGGCGAAGCCAAAATTCACATTTCGAGAATTTAGCATAAAGTTTCACCTTTCGAAGAAGTTCTAAGATGTCACAAATATTAATGGCATGATCAGACTTAGATTTGGAATAAATTAGGATATCATCAATGAACACGATGACTGACTTATCAAGCATTGGGCGACATACTCGATTCATCATATCCATGAATACAGCAAGAGCATTTGTCAAACCGAACGTCATGACAAGGAATTCATAATGCCCATAACGATTACGGAAAGCAGTCATCGGGACATCCTGCTCTTGTACTTTTAACTGATGATAGCCAGATCCCAAATCAATCTTCGAGAAATAGCTAACACGCTGAAATTGATCAAACAGATCGTCAATAAGAGGTAGTGGATACATGTTGTTAATAGTCACCTTATTTAGCTCACGGTAATCAATACACATTCGCATCAATCTGTCCTTCTTCTTGAAAAACGATACTGGAGCACCCCAAGGAGAGGTACTCGGTCGAATAAAGCCTTTGTCATGTAATTCCTGCAGTTGGATCATCAATTCCTTCATTTCAGTTGGTGCAAGGTGATAAGGAGTCCTTGCAATTGGAGCAGCACCAGGCACAAGGTCGATTCGGAATTCTATTTGCCTGTTGGGAGGAACTCCAGGCAAATCATCGGGGAAAACATCAGGATACTTGTTAACAACGAGAACATCATTTACATTTTTATTCTACTCTTTTGAGATATCAACAGTATAGGTGTTTCTCAATCGGGCTTGTCCGCATTTTAAATGAAGATACATGAAAGAACTCCTTTCATAACTCTTTACATTGATACTCCAAAACATGCTACATGCATGTTCATAAACATATATATATATATATATATATATATATATATATATATATATATATATATATATATATATATATATATATGGTCTTATAACAAAATATTGGATACAAACCGACTAAGTTTTTAATATATTACAAACTACCCATGATATTATAATTTTATGCATATACAAACACTAATTAAAAAAGTAATAGTATTATTTATTCAAAATCTTTTAACAGTATATGTCTATACTAGATTGCTACTACCTACAATTGTGAAACGCTGAGAGGAGTAAACGGTGATGGTTAGTGAGTTCAATAATAGATACAATATAACATTATGCCATATATATACATCAATATGACAGAAGCAAAGAGGAACAGCAAAGACATATGTGAATCATGTGACAAACTTTCCATATCAATCAATGACTTGATTCAAAGATATACAATCAATGCGACATAACAATTTCAATACTTGATATACATCAATAAAGCTTTGGCCCAAATGGCACAGAAGACACACAATTTCTTAATAAACATTTTGGTAGATTTCAGACTTTTAACCCTGTGTAACCTTCTGCCAACGCTATAGGGGTAGAAGTCATTCTCTTACGAGACATGCTCTACATGGCCAGAGGCTACATACCAATACCACTATGAATTCAAGTCCTTTTACTGATCACATGGCCAAAGGTACAGTTTTGCTATCAAAATAGCGGAAAACAATAACATGGGAAAATAACATGGAAAAGCACATATAACACATATAACACATAACATACAATTGTTCCTATATATTGAACTCATTATGAAATAACCGGGGATTAAAGTAGTAATTTGGGCAGCACTTCAACTCTAAATATGACTTTCTATGATGAAACTGGGGGTTTTAGTTAAAAACCAGGCTTTTTGCGGGTAGAGTTTCGACATGAAATATGATTTTATTGGGAATTTTGGAGCATCGGGACTTGCTTCGGGTATTGGGGATGATACCGGGACTTAGGGGGGTTAAAAGTGGAATGAAAATGGAGTAAAGGATGAGAAAGTGTAAGATTTGTAAACATAAATCGGGCAGCCTCGCATTTCTTTTATAGGTGGCCGAAGCCTCGGTGTACGCTGGGCGTACGAGGCGTGTCACCTGTTCGGTATCCAGGTCTCGGACGTGGCATCAAATGGTGATAGGTGTCTCATGCAAAGGAAAGGGCAATGTGGCTGACTCTGGATCAAATACGTGCGAAGTAGCGGGGCGTAACCTCGTGTACGTTGGGCGTACATCTTCGGATAAGCCTCATATATTTCATTTAAATCTTAAAAAATTCATATCTTTTGCATATGAGCACCGTTTTTGACATTCTTTATATCCACGTGTGTGTGCGATTATACTCTATAACTTTCGTTTAGACTTTTTCGGCTAATTTTGAATTCATTTTTAATGTTATATTTTTAATTGGCCGTGACCGAAAAAGTCTATTCAAAATTTATAACTTCTTCATCTAACGTCTCTTTTTGTCTGTCTTTTTACCGTTGTACCACTATTGATGAAACCTTCAATTCTCATGTAGGTTGTGTCGGTTAAAAATCACTCGATCTTTATTTCGAGTTTTTAGCCGTCTACTACTATTCCGAAACTTAGAAGAATCATAAATTCCACATACGAAGAACAGTCCGAAACTTAGAAGAATCATAAATTCCACATAAATTCCACATAAATTCCACATACGAATTTCATTTAGATCACTAAGGCTAAAAAGTAGTTTATCGAAAATTCACTTTTTACACTAAATAGTGTTTGTCGGTTTTGTCGCGGATCTTCGATTGGTCATAACTTTCTCGTTATAACTCGGATTTCGATGAGGTTTTCGCGTAAACACTTCTAATGATATTATCAAAAACATCCAATAATAATTTTTTTTTTTACTTATTTCAAATTTTATATTTTCGTTAAATTTCAATATTTGTCATTTCACTGAAATCTCATAAGACTTCCAATATTTTCTGAGTGATTCTAAACATAGTTTTACTTTATTTATAGTAAAAACTATCTGTTAGAACTCAACGCTCACTATCCTATGATTTTTAATAATATTAGTTACTTTTAAAATTACATAACACGATATTAGAACGTGTATGTTACAATACAGTGACAGAGATAGTAGTTCTATGTAGATTTAAATTGTAGTTACACATTAGAGTTAGAGTACATTGTTGTTTAGGGAACCACATACAAATATGCTTAGTGTGTGTTTGTATATATATATATATATATATATATATATATATATATATATATATATATATATATTTCATTATGTATATGAGTAATCTCATTAGGCAAGTATTGATATCTAATTCATATTTAAACATCTAATACATTCTCAATAGTTTTCTCTATATAAATGTTATATATATAAAATTGAAAATTTTTGTTTTCACAAAGTTTATAAAAATCAATTTTGCCAAATCTACTTGACATAATTGCTTAATTAGCTAAAGCATTAACGTCAAGCTGGTGCAATAGGGCTTTATTGACATAAGTAGATGTGTTTGACTGAAATTTAGTATTTGGATATTGGAACATTACAAGCAACATATATTGTAATGTATTGAGATATTAGGTATGAGTCTTCCATTAAATAATTGTTGTGTTCTATATTAGCATGTTTAAATCCTTGAATAACTAGGTTTATCTAAATGTTCATAGTCAGTCATAGTCGTAGGGGAATCTATGATGTAAGACTAATATGAGTGGATTGGTTGATTCTCATGGAGTTGAGAATAGCAAGATCTGCTACCAACTTCATAGTTACTTGATTAGGAGAATAAGTATTGGATTTAACCAACATCAAAATCACTTTATGGATCATAGACACGGGTGATGTTTTGATCAAGCTCGTATGTTTGTATTCTTAGACTTAAGATAAATATTTGGGGCTTGAAGCATAGGAATTGTTGTGCTTTGACATGGTTTAACAATGTTTCGTAAAAGACAGTCATAAGGGCTATCGTTAGATATGATATAAACTACATTGATAGTCGTCTGTAGTCAAGAAGAGATATGTTCCTCTTATTTGTTTAGAGTTAGACATTTAAGGCTTACTAAAAGTTGAACACTAAATGAGATTAATTACGATCCGTATCTCATGTTCAACATGATATATGAGACACCTTTAATAATAAGTGTAGCTTAGAGCTCTTGGAATTTGTTGCTGATGAGATAACACCCTTCATATTTATTTAGGGGTAGTAGCCCGTAGATGTCAACTACTGTCTATGTCGGTTTGTAATGAATCTTGCGCAAGTGGGAAATTGCTGAATCTATATATCCAAGAATATTTATCGAGCGACACTGATAATAAAATATGATCCTATAGGGTCACACCTATATCAAGTTGGCACATTTGGTGTATTTATTATTAACTAGATGGAATTAGCTGCGCCTTTGACGCCAATTTTTTTTTTTTTTTGGGTTATTTGAGGCTGTAGTAAATGAGAGTTATAATGTGGCTGCAAAAAGAGTAGAACCCACAAAAAATAATTAGAAATAAAAATAACTAATCTGAGTAATTTGAGTAAACTTCTCACTTTCATTTTTGTTAACTTTGGATTTTGTTTTCTTATATGGACATCATATTACGAATTAACACGCTTTATGCAATAAAGTAGTTAAAGTACATAACTATTAGACTTTACCTATCAGGTTCCTCCACTCCTTCAATATATATATATATATATATATATATATATATATATATATATATATATATATATATATATATATTGACATTATTTAAAAAGCAATTTAATGGTAGATTGGATTATGAAATTATAAAGCAGACATTCACTAGATTTTGTGCTTCTCTTCCTTGTCTTGCATTAGAGATGGCCTACAACAATAAAAGAATCAGAATTTACAATATGTTTGGTTCCTATTTTTTTTTTTTTTTGTAAATACACAATATTGAACTTCTTGTTTTTATTTAAAGCAAATTACCAAAAAGAAGAAATATTATATTTTGAGAACTTTTGCGATTTGACTAGTAATACTTTTTTTTATTCAATCATACCAAAAAAGTTTCATATATTTTTCCAAAATAACCGGTTTGACTTGTTATATCATTTTTTCAAAGTATATAGTAAGGGTGTTTTGGTCTTTCACAAAAAAGGCAGGATGGAATTGAATTCATTCTATCCTCCCATGGAAGTAATAAAATCCATAAAACAAAAAAACTGAATAATATTATATCTGTTAAGATATTTGATCAATACTGTGGGAAGGAAATTACAATATTGCCCTCAGCGCCTTCTTCTCTAGCAAGGTCTTGTAAAAACCAGGTACCACTTCCATTGTCTTCAACAACATGTTTCAATTCTAACAGGTCAAATATCAGGCTTCCATCACGTGTAGGGTCCACAAACACTTCCTGAACAAATAAATATCCAATAACAAACAAGAAAATAATAATTAGATGCACAATTTATCAATCAATTTGGGATTAAATTGAAGTTGGAAACCATTGTGTACTTATAACAACATGGAAGAAAGAAACAAAGCTGATGATCAAGAGTTTCACTGACTATTGCTCACATCCTACAATTGAAATTTTGAACTTTCTTATAGAGTGAAGAATGTATATTAAACAAATAGAGACATGACATGTAAATTACAAAACTGACCTCCAACCTAAGTGGGAAAGTAGCGGAAACTGCTCCACCAAACATTGGTATTTCTAGGAGCTGAAATATTATCCAACATGGATAATCAAGAATCGGATAATTTGTTGTAATAATCATTTCAGATAGTTATATTTCACAATCACTTACAGATTAGGGTATAAAGAATTAGGAAGTTTAAGAACTATGAGACTGTAAACAATTCCAAGAAACCAAACATCCCTTTATGTTTGATGAATAATTTATAGTATGGACTGATTCCCATTCTCTAAATAATTGCAAGTGCTTGAAATTGTGCAAAGAAAAGTTCAGGATAAGCTAGCAGATGAAGAGGAACTTTGCAATTTATGAAAGTCAAATTGAGTTTTAAGTTTTGTCAACAAAAGGAACGTATATATATCTTTTAAGCATACCACTTGAACTACGATTCCGAATAGTAATTTGCCTTTGATGAATCCAGTTATCGAACCTCCATTGCTAATCGACGGGCCTACAAACTTTTGTTAGTTATATATATGAGCATCTGCCTTGATGATTGTAGCCTTGTTGTTATAACAGAAAAATCAATTTGAAATTCGAAAAAGGTGTGGAGAAGAAAGTCGAAGTCGTATACTAAAACAACTGAAAATATAAAACATCAAGTGGATTGTACCTAAATCAATCGTTCGTCTCCTTGAACGGATTTGGGTAGCTATCTCTGAAACACCCCCAAATCGGAAACAATAGATGCTCAGGACTCCTTCAACCGACCTACCTTGCGGCGGTTCACCATCGGTAACCCACCAGGCATTTAGTGTGTCATTTTTGGGAGAGAAAGGTGAAGGCAGTGGTGTGTTCGGTACAACGGGGGAAAGATTTGATACGTTGTTGGAGGTAAATTAGGACTGGTCATCGACTGCTGCTCCTTTGTCATTCGTCGATCACCAGCAACAGCTCGAACGTTAGTCACCGACGGAGAGAGATAATGTAGGAAAGAATTGAGAAAAGGAAGCGGATAAAGGTACATAAGATACATGTTATGGTGGTGAAGCATTGTGATTGGAGAAGAAGGCGGAAGAGAGAAGATAAGAATAGAAAAGAAGAATGAAAGAAGGTAATCGTCATAGTGGCATTAGAGAGAAAAGAAGTTCTGTGGCAAAAGAATCAACCGTGATTGATTTAAAAACCATAATATATATATATATATATATATATATATAATATATATATATATATATATATATATATATATATATATATATATATATATATATATATATACCTAACAAACTTATATAAGCTTAGGTACCTAACCACATTATACTATATAATTTTGTATCATATTTGCATTGTAATCACTCAAAGTTCTTAAAATTCAACCTTATAACTTGATTAAAATTCAACCTTATAATTTGATTGCTTCCAAAATCTTTGGACTTTCACTATTATCTTCCTTCAAATGACGTCTTTCTATTGGAGACCCCCTGGTGGGCTTCATATACTATCGTTACAAATCAAATTGTGTAGGAGGAATATAATGGTGAACGTATGAAAATCTTAGAAGTAAATCAAGTTAAGGAACCTTTGATAATTGCAATGGAAATATAATGCAAAACAATGTAGTATAATGTGGTTAGGTACCTAGGCTTATATAAGGTTGTTAGGTATATTCACTTTACCCATATATATATATATATATATATATATATATATATATATATATATATATATATATATATATATATATATATATAGAGAGAGAGAGAGAGGTTCAGGTATTTAAAATAATTATTTTGTTATTGTATAAATAAATGTAGGCCAATCATTTCAAAAAGGTAAATATGTAAGCATACATTTAATTAATTATGGTAAATATATAAATCAATTAATATCCCTTTAATTTAGGAATATTAGTTTTAAAACCCAATTTCTAGTATATATCCTAACGTCCGCCTCTTCCTTCTTCTCTTTTATTTATCGTCGCCCCCAACCTTTTCCCTCCTATCTCCCTCCCATACACACTACACTTCCGGCCGACCAAGCACACATACGATGACATATTCTGGAATACCCATCCAAACACGAGCATAAACACTCGTACTACCGTGAAACATAACGCGACAACCAATATCTTTCTTCTTCCGATCGCTCGCTTCCACAGTTACTATCGGTGGCCTTTATCTTCGATGCTCGTTGAAGAGGCGATGGTGGTTGGGCATCGGTAGTTCACAACACCCATATAAACATGGCGGTGACTGAGCGGTTCACGGAAGTAAGCCACCACGAAAGGGATGGTGGCGTGACAACGCTAGACTTCTTGCATCCGACTGACTCGCTCTCTTTCAACACGTAGGAGGGGGTGGATTCGACGATTTCCGACTCCAATGATGGATAGGAGGTGGCGAGTGAAGGATGTGGTATAAGCGTCGACTGTAGCACCCTCCTAGGGTTAGGGTTCTTATTGCGGTGACTTTAGTATCCTCTTATCTGAAAATGAAAGTTGTTTTGATGCACACCAAGTGCTCGCTAAAATGCTTCAACTGATGCACACCAAGCACTCGCTAAAATTTGAACGACACCTCTTGACAACATTATTCTTTTAGAATGTATTAGTGTCTTTGTTAGATTTTGATGTTTTTTTCCAGATTTGAAAGTTTTTTTTAGTTTTATTCTTTAACAATAAATGAAACTCTTAACAATTGTTACATGTATTGTATAAGAATTAATGTAATTTTTGTTTTAATTCTTAAATTTATGGTTCGAGAATTTCGTTATTCTACAAGAAATTTTTTAAGGCATGATCAATTAATATGTTCAAGAATATTTTTATTATTTTATGGTTCAAGAATATTTTTATTTTTGAACATACTCAAACATATTTTGTCAAAATGTCCAAATTAAAAACTTTATAATTCATAAAATCGGATTTTTTTAAATTAATAGAATCTTTGATCCTTTAAAATATGGAAATTTCCTTTATTAAATCTATGTTAATTGACTAAAATACCCTTCTAGTTAAATTAGATGGTATTTTTCAATTATATTTAATTCAATAATATGTATTAATTACTTTGAATATAATAAACAAAGTCTATATATATATATATATATATATATATATATATATATATATATATATATATATATATATATATATATATATATATATAGTAATTTACACATAGTTCCAGGGTTTAAACGAAGAAAACAAAATAAAACAAAAAAAAGTTAGGAGGGAAAGTGGTCCTTTCATTTCCCTCCACTTCTTCCCATTTCCCTATGTTAATGAAACACCAATTTCTTTTACTTTCTTCTCATTTCAACTCATTTCCTTTCTTTTCTCTTGTTAAGTTCAACTAAAGAATGGGTTGTTAGGAATAGTTCTTTGTTTCTATTGGTTTAAATTGTTTTTCTTTTTTAGTTTTTTTACTTGGTATTTTCATTGGTCCGCGGGACATCGATGCCACCATTTACAGGCAAATGTGTCATCTTCCCTTAAACCATTGCCTTCACTATCTCCATCGCCTCTTCGCGGTTCCCCAACGATCTCTGGAAGCATCGTCAAAATCCTAAACCCAATCCATCACTACCAATCCTCCAATAAGATCCTCCATTCCTTGGTTTTCCATTATGGCTTTTTTTTCCTTCGAGATTTTAAGAATCCCTTCGTTGACTTCCAATCCTCTTGCTAAGGATGCATTCCTCCTCCGTGATTTTCCATTTATCTATGCCAGAAGATGATTACGAAAAACTGCGAGAGAGTTAATGAAAAAAGGTGGAAAGATGAGAGAGAGAGAGAGAGAGAGAGAGAGACATCGATGATTTCTATTACAGATGAGACATAAGGGAAGGAGGATCAAAAGGTGATCTAGTTTTTGGTTAACTATTATTCATGGATTTTCCTAATTAGGTATGTTGTTTTCCAAAAAAATTTCCCTTTCTTGCAATCATTTCAGCCCTACGTCATTGCTATCCAGGTCTGCAAGTGCAGATGTAATTAAATTTGTGCCCACATATGTTTATACTAGTGTCTACTTCTTCGTCACTTCTAACTAAGGTATTGGTTCTAGTTTTGGTTCTGTTTTTTCTAGATAATAGAAGAACTTTGCCTCTTTTTTTGAATTGCTCCATTGTTTTGATTTTGGGGTTCATAGCAGGAAGATGGATAATACATATAAGGTTGTAGGTTTCTATTGATATGTTGATTTTTTTTTTCGTTTAAGGATTGAGAGAGAAGAGCTCCAATTGGAAATTTGAAGATTACATCCAAGCATAAGCAAAAACGACCCCAAATTAAAATGACTTTCCATTAAAAGAATTCTCATAAACTTGAATTTGTTACCTAAATATACCGAGAAGAATTATGAATTAATCTAAGTTTTCTATGTTTGAAAAAACTTTTCCACTTATGTTGTACAATATTGTCAGACAAATTCAGAGTTGGAGATGCTAAAAGTAGTTGATAGTTCTTACATTTCCCAAACTATTTTTCTTGCCATTATAAACATTTACACGTAGAATCATTTTTTTAATATATATATATATATATATATATATATATATATATATATATATATATATATATATATATATATCGGCACATGAACATACTTCATGATAATGAGTGGGTTATTTTCATATATTGGAGAAGTGGTATCTGTGCATAGATGAAATCCTATCTCTTAAACAATTGAAGCTTCACGAACTAGGTTGAATATGAATACAAATATCTGAGAGGCTCATGCTTAGTTTATAACAATTACACACCATTGGTAAACACTTCACAAATATTCCTATTTTCTCCTTCTCCATATTGTTCTAGTAATCCCTCAATTAAATTTATATTCACCGAATCCGAACTGATAATTCAGATATGCTATGGGACAAACTTCAAAGATTACCAATCTCCCTTACGGAATCAATAAAAGATATTTAAAAATCATAACGAATAAGAAAACAATTTGTATACATAATTTTTTTATTTTAGCTTTTTAGATGGCTTTTAGTTATAAACTTTGGTCAATTTATTTTTACCTAAACTAGAGGATAAAGGAAAAGTCTTAGTTCAATTCTTATCAACACTTCTTAGCATGGTGAACACCCCTTAGTTAGTATACGATTAACTAAGTTGCTATTATTTTAAAAACCTCATTGACCAGCACTGAAATTTTGTATAAATTAAAGTTTACTGAACAATAATAGAAAAGGAAACGACTTAGTCTAGTGTGATTCTATTCATGGCAGATTAGCTATTATTTTTTTATTCTTTATATTTTGAAAAGATATCTAATGGTATGGGCCAATGAGGATCAGCATTGTGGATAGTTTAAGAATTGGTATTCTTAAAGGACATGCTTTATTATTTTGAATGTTTTCTTTATGAGAACCAAATGCATAATGTATTATCCTTTGAAAACCGAAAACAGTTATGATAAATGATATCTTTTATTTGACACATTTCCATTTCTACATATCTATCATTCATTCTCGAATATATATATATATATATCTTATTTAGTCACACAATTTTTCACACATACATTACGGTCTACCCAACAAGGTTCAGATTTCAATATAGTACAACAGTAACATTATTCCCATCCCGTGGGAAAATGACAATGAAATTTAAATAAAAAATCAACGACAATCTTTTCTCTTGTAATATTTGATTTCGATGCCACCTTTCTGCCAAGAATATTTGATGTGCCTGAACCACAACAATAAAATAAGAAAGTCAGTATAATGAAATTAATGTGTGTTTGTGTGCATGTGAGAAAGAGAAAGAGAAACAGAGAAAGGAGCATACAATGACAAAGGGGGGCAAAAGAAGCCATGAGAATGAGGAAGAAAATTAGAAACCTACAACTAACGAAGGCCATTTGAAAGGTAGTGAAAAGTTCCAGTGGAATGATTGAATTGAGAAATAAGAGGCTATTTATAAGTAGATGCTATGAAATATGATAACAGAATTTTCAATAGGCTTTTATTTAAAATTTATTCCTTGAAAATTTTGGTTTTATGCATTGCATTTGCAATAGCAGTTATTTATTTTTG